ATTATATAAAAATAATGTATAGATAAAAGAAACATGAGAAAGAAGTTAGGTACTCAGAACAATATGGAAGAAAAGAACTATAATCTTTTTCTTAACTCCATTGCCTCACCAACAAGAAACTGTTATTAACCAGTTCAGCCTATGAGATCTAGTCTGTCTATAGTGTATGTCATTCATCAGATAAGCAAATATCACTGTTATCTCTTGCAATGCTGTTTTAGCTACTGATTCAAATTAATTACTCTTCAAATTGTTATGTGGCTATATAATCAAATACCTACAATTTTCTCTCTAAATAAAATATAAACAATTTTAGAACACAGCCAACAGATAGCACAATACCTTTAACATAATAGTAAAAGAAATATCTTGGTATTTTCAATTTTTAAGTGTCTGTGGTGGTTTAAAACAAAACAAGGAGGTATGGCATTGTTGAAGTTGGTGTGGTCTTGCTGAAGGAAGTGTGTCACTGTGGAGGTGGGCTTTGAGGTCTTATATATGCTCAAGGCACCTCCTAATATTTTAGTCTACTTCCTGTTACCTTCTTGATCAAGATGTAGCTGGCACCATGTCTGCCTACATGCTGTCATGCTCCCTGCCATGATAATGGGCTGAACCTCTGAATTGTTTGCTGCCACATCAATTCAGTGTCTTTCTTTATAAGAGTTGTGTTACGAGCAGTTTTCCCACCAGCCTGGTCCCACAGCCGCATCAGTCCCAAATAACACACAGAGACATTACATTAGATATAAAGCTGTTGGCCTGTTATTAGCATTACTTATTGGCTAGCTCTGCCTTGAATATTAACCCATTTCTATCAATCTAAGTATTTCCACGTGGTCTTGGCTTACTGGAGAAAGGGTCTGGACCTCTTACTCCTCTTGGTCCTACATTTTGAATCTCCCTACTACATCTCCCAGAATCCTCCTTGTCTCCTAGTCCTGCCTATCTTGCCTTCCTATTTGCTAACAGTCCTTTATTGATTAACCAATAAGAGAAACATATTTACAGAATGACATCTCCCATCAGAGTTGCCTTGGTCATTGTGTCTCTTCAGAACAATAGAAACCCTAAGTGTCAAAACTTCAAGTGTTCAATGTTTGCTGTTTAACTGCAAAGTGATGAGAATACAATACCAACCACTTAAAACAGTGGTCTCTGAAAGATACACTACAAAGGGCTTTCCACCCTCCATATTTCTACATGCTCTGAGTGGCTGAGCTGTAACCTTTTTTTCTTTCTAACTTGGGTTCACCACTTTAAAACAGACAACATTTTTGTAGAAGATTATAGGGAAACAGAGGATGTCAAAATGGTGATTAACATAGTGAGTGGAAATGGGTGTAATTCCTTTACTTTGGTCCCCAATTCTCATGGTTATAACAATGCAAAGACTCAAATACCAGATATGGCCAATGAAGGTGACCAATACTAACATCCTTCAACATCATTAGTGCTATACTTTGGTACCTCACCTGCCCTTCTATCCATAAGTTTGCTGGCCATAATAGCAGGCAGCAGGGGCTATTGAAGTTTTGTTGTTGTTTTTCCTGGGAAAGAGTTAATTACTAAAGAGATAAAAGACATCGTGCCGACATTGTCTCCTTTACTGGTTACTAGTTTGAACTTCTGGGTAGCCCATATCCTGGGCTTTAGAAGATGAAATGCAGTAGCCAGGCCATTAAAGTTGGCACACATCTTTAATCCCAGTACACAGGAGGCAAAGGCAGGCTGGTCTCTGAATTCGAGGCCAGCCTAGTCTTCAGAGCAAGCTTGTTCCAGGGTGGTCAGGGCTACAACAAACTCTATCTTGAAAAAAAAATAATAGTTAATTAAAATGAAAATAGAAGATGAAATGTGAATTCTGGAATGCATGAAGGGTTTCAGGAGCTCACTCATGGCTTCACTACGTCCTGTTTCCTTTTGACCAGTTTTAGAGATTCAAATATAACTTATTAAAGGTTGCCATACCCAACTGTACAGCATATCTTCCTGCCTATTAGAAGCATTAGCTTCGCTTCTGTCTAGTCTTTATCAACAAATAAATAGGCCAACTGGGAAAAAAGCCAAAGCCTTCTGTTGGAAAACTTTCAAGGTAGATAAGCACTCTAGTTCTGCATTTAATTAAGTATGTTTGAGTAATATAAATAATAAACTAAGAGCAAAAGTCACCAAAGGGCTATTATATTATTAGATTTGTGGCATCCTTCAAAATCTAGAAGACAGTTGGGTTCACTGCATCCACAGACCATCAGATTCCCTCTATGTTCACCCTTCCTCATCTCTTAACATAGCTCCACTCTTCTTCAGCTTAAAGCACTACATACTCCATTTTCTTGGCATCCTTACCATCCTCTCATTGTTACCATGCTTCCCAAAACACTTGACTGCTGCCTAAATTCTTCTGTACCTAGATGTGAGAGACCAAGATGCATGCACGAATCCCCTCTTAAAAACACAAATGAAACTGAAGTCCCCAAGAATCTGAGTCCTCACAAATGTCAGGGTCCATAAAATGGCTCCCCTTCATATTGACTTAAGGTCAGAGAGTTCAAAATTATCCTTACTCTTCCAAGGTTAAAGTCATAAGACCTAAAGGTCTAAGATGTGGTTACTAAAGAATGTTTGGTCTGAGAACCAAGAGACTTGATTCTAAGGTGTGGTTACTCTTAGCCCTCAAGGATAGATAACAGTGTGGTTACTGCATGTAAGGAAATTAAGTCTGTTCCTTGTATTATGGTAAAGAAGTCTTTTGCCTTTGCCCACTTTTTGGTTTGGGCATATTAGAATGTTGAAGAATAAACTTGGGGCATTCAGTATTCACTGGATTGCCCACCTGATTCTATTCTGTGTCTCTGTCTTTTCCATAGTATCTTTAATTTCTCAATCCACACTCCTCCTCTCTGGTATGAATCAGGCAAGTCAGATGGATCAGACTGAAGCCCCCCAAAGACAGGTTCCTACACACAATGACATTTTCAAAGTCCGTAGAGGCCAACCTAAAAAAGACAGCACCTCAATTCTAGCAGATCATTTCTACCCTTCAGTAGTTTTCAAGCACTGCCATGTGTGATCTGAACCCCACAAAGCTGTCTGTATTCATTCAATTCCCTCATTAGTATTTCCTAACCTGAGTTGGGTCTCAAAACTCCTACTTGATAGTGATTTTATAACTATCACTAACAATAGTTCCCCAGTCACATTCTAACAGACATTTAAGGCAAATAATGTAAAACTTTGTTTCGTAATCACTTGAAAAAGTTAATAGATAAATTGTTGTATGTAATTCTTAGTTCCTAGATGATACTTACCCTGCTGGTCCAAGTATCATGCTCCAGGAAACACTCACTGCCTTTGTGAATCTGATAAAGAAGGCTATGAAGAAATGTACCATACCACATATATATATATATATATATATATATATATATATATATATATATATATATATATATATATGCAATTCTGATGTGTATTAAAAGGTTCATGGAGCTTCACTCGTAACTACTCATCCTTCTGTATCTCATTCTAAGGACTGTTTCTTGTATTTTTGGTTGTGAGTCTAGCCTTTAACTGCTGAGTCATCTCTCCAGCCCAAGACTGTTTCTTTAAGATGTCTCCTGACATGGTATCATGAAGCACTAAATACAGCAATAATGAAATCCAGTATAAACACCCAAGAATGAGGGAGGACTGCTTGACAGTGGGAAGTCGGTTCTGTTCAAAGTGCTGGCCTCTTCGGTCTTAGGCTCTCTTTCACAGGTATGTGGTACTCTCTACACCTGATTTAATTCTTGGAAACAGAAACTCATCATTTAGCTTTGAAGTGTATTCTATAGTGACTCTCAAACCAAACCTTTGAGGTGAAGACATGGTCTGTTAGAAAGAACATGAATGTGAGTGATAGCTCCATCTGCCAATGATAGAGCAGGACTGAACCCTGATGTCTGTCCTAAAAGACGACTACCTGGGCCCTCAGACACCACTCCTCTTCAAGACCAAGGCCATGTGAACCTACAGTAAGAAAGAGAAAATGCTTCTCTACTTAAAAAAATTCAATGGCAGATAGAATAAATGTTAAAATATGAAAATGAATGTGGAGCTCAAGAATTTGTAAAATGCCTTCAAGTCATACATTTTGTATTTATGAACCGTAACTCGTCAGCATACCATTATTTACTTACATTTCCTTATATGTACGCAATAGTCATTTATTCAATTTAACTAAGTAATAACTGGGTAAAATAATGACCTTATTCTTTCATTCTCTTTTCTATATCCTCTTATAGTTTAACAATCCAAACTTCACTGAAAAATAAAAATGAACAAATTATAAATTATTTCCTCCCCTCCCAATGGCTATGGTTCATGTAAAAAATACATGTCAGCTGGGCCCTAGTGGTACACGCCTTCAGTGCCAGCACTCAGGAGGCAGAGGCAGGCAGATCTCTGTGAGTTTGAGGCCAGCCTGATCTACAAAGTGAGTTCCAGGACAGGCTCCAAAGCAATACAGAGAGAAACCCTTCCTCAAAAACAAAACAAAACAAAAGAAAAAAAAAAAAAAAAAAAAACAAACCTCCCCAAAAAATCAAAACCAAAACAAAACAGAACAAAAAAAAAAAAAAAAAAAAAATATATATATATATATATATATATATATAAAGAAAGCATGTTGTCAACACAGAAATCATTTTTGAAGTTTCCTCTGTATTTCCTCAATGAGCAGTCAGAATCCATTAAATTCATATTTACTCTATTCAGTATATAACACCCCTTAGAATTTAGCAATTATAGATATAGCAGGATTATGTGTGTTTTAACTTTCCCATATCAGATATTTTCTCAATGTATAATCCTATCAAGCTACTGCTATTTCAAGAATTTAAATTGAAGGTGAGGAAATGAACAAATGCATACAATGTCTATCAGAAATACTTCAAATTCTAGATTTCCTAAGTTTATAAGTTGTCTAAATATCAAGTGATTTCAACTGAGCATACCTCTTGTAGAAGACGTGGAGCTATACAGTCACCGTCATCATTAAACATAGATTCCCAGCTTTCCTCCTCAGCAATACTTCCGTTTATGTGAGAAGTGTCTGTTGTTTTTAGCTCTGCGGATGTTTCCACAGATGAATCTCCATCAGAAAATGATACGCCACGCACTATATTCTCTGAGTCATCTTCCTTCTCTGTTTTAAACTCTTCAGCAGCAGTTCTCAGTTCGTGCAATGCCTCTGTTATCTCCTCAGTACTATTCAGATCACTGCCCAAGGCACTCTCCAAAAGGACTTCTGTCCCATTAGACACACTCAGTTCAGAGTCCAAACAAGTGGTACAATTACTGTCAGCAATCTTCTTTATGGGGAAAGAGGAAGCACACCCTGACACACTCTCTATCAACTTTCCTGTTGACTCTGTAAAACTAGAAGCAATACTCTCGGCATAAATATCTGGGCAAGCAGTTAGGCTGCTAACTTTTTCAGAGCCGTTCTCACTTTTAGCTGCATTGAGAAGGGCTACATCTGCACTCATTTCTAGATAATCTGAGAAATTACTTGTATTGCTACTACTGTCATCAGATTCTCTAACTGCAACTATACAAGGCCTGTCTGCAGTTTGATGATCACAAACTGCACCTGCCATGTCCTCCATACATGCCTTGCTGATAGTGTCACATGCGTTCTTAAATCCACTGTCTGTGTCTCTTTCATGAGCAAGGACAGCTGTATCAGAAGGTTCATACTCTACACACAACTTATCAGCAGAGCTGTCACTCTCACATTCTCTAGTCACTGTCGGATCAATAATGCCATTTGTGCTCTCTAACTTGCTGACTATAGCCATTTTAAGAGAAATGTTACCAATAGTCTCAGGAATGGAAGCTACACCTTTCTGACCCAAGGCAGACTCTGGAGTGTTGACTGTATCCTCACTCTTAGCTTCAAATTCTATAAAAGTTGGCTCAGTATCATTTGGACCTCCAGAAACAGAAACTGCAGAGATGCTCCCAGAACTGTGATTTGACACTCCATCTGATATTTCCATACTGCATGGTGCAGTTTCAGAATCAGAGCTTAGCATTACTGGCACAGCCATACCCTCTGGTTTCAACAGAGTGGTAACAACTTGAGGACACTGGGAGGCCAACTCCATTACTTTGGTCTCAGTTTCAGTTCTGCTTTCCAAATCTCTATTTACGCAAGTTTCCCCACTAAAATCACAAGGTCCTATGTTCTGGAATGGTCTGTTTAGAACCTGAGCATCAATGACTTCTGAGTAAGACTTCGATAGATGCACCTCCCGGTGTTCCGTCAATCCTGCAGTGGGAACTTCCAAACATTCCGTTTCCTTTGGTTTAAAAAGTCTCTGCAGAGGTACAGTAGATGTAACGCCAGCACTGGGGGCTCTCTGTTGACGCTCTTGAGACGAGACTTCTTTGGGTTCTTCATCTCCTCTCCTAGTACAAACCTTACCTTTATTCTTTCTCTGAAGGGACCCGTCTTCCCTTAATTTTGGTGAAGGCCTCTTGCCTTCTCTGCAGGCACACCCCTGTCTATCAGAATGGCCACTGAGTCTGTGAGACTCAGGTTTATTTCCAGAGATCTTCTGGGGAAGACAACCTTCTTTTTGTTCTTTCGGCACAAAGGTAGGAGGCCTGCAGCTTTCTTCCTTGTCATCTGCCTTGAGGAGTGCTGTACCCCTTCGAGCTTTAGGTACATAAAGTGCCATGTCAGGCCTCTTGGTTCGAACTCTGCATCTCTCTGCTTCTTGCTGCATGGCGCAACCTCAATCTGAAAGAAAAATAAAGATTTAATAATAACTAATTATCATGTATTGAACCAAGAAAAGTTTAAGGGACGGGTTGAGAGCTTACTAATCTATTTTATAGCAATCACTGACATAAAAAAAAAAAGCAAAATCTGCCATAAAATACTTAATGCGATCACACATGTAAAGAAAGTAAACCCCAAAGCCCCATGATCTAGGTCACAGGCTTTATCAAAAGATACCCTTTCTTTGGATCTTCAAAACCATTCACCCTACCTTTTCAAGCTTTCTTTTTAAACACGTAATTTCACCTTACGCTGAATTTAAAAACAGATTGTGTGAACAGTGATGCCCACTACTACCTCCTCATAAAGAATAATCATCTCCATGTTTTAAAGCTTAGACTTCTGCTATGAAGAATATTTTCAAGGAGGATATCAACTGTCAGCATAAACACAAATACACACACACAACACACACACACATTCACCGGGGTGTGTGTGTGTGCGTGTGTGTGTGTGTGTGTGTGTGTGTGACAAGTGACAGCTATACAATGGAACAACTAATTCTTCCTAGAAAACAGTACATTTAAATCATGTTGCTGCTGAAAAAAGGTAAAATTTAATCATTACACTTTGTGTGTGTGTGTATCTGTGTGAATGTCACACTGAAGTTTGTAAATACACATATTCCTTTGTATCAACAAAACAAAAAAAAGTTTAAGAAAAATGTAATTTTTTTAAAGTTTAGGTCAGCCATTCCTGCTCTAAAAAACTCAAATTTCAAAACCCAAAACTTTTGGAGCAATGTGTCAGTACTCAATATTACGCTTTGGAGCCTTCAGAATTGTTCCTGGACTAGCAATGTTCAGCCAGTAATATACCAACATTCTAGAACTACAAAAATACCCACAACCTTCTGAACTGCAAAGCATTTCAGATAAAGGAAACCCTGCCTATGTAAGTGACCTACTGTGAGTTTTTTCTGCTTCCAGCAGTAAGAAGATAAATCCAAGCAGAAAGGAGGAGGCTGGAGAACAGGAAAACTATGATGAGCCAATCACACTAGTAATCCCTGACAAACTCCACCATGGTTTTCAAAGAATTTTGATGGGAGATGTCATTCTGTAAATATGTTTCTCTTATTGGTTAGTGAATAAAGCACTGGTGTGTGTGTGTGTGTGTGTGTGTGTGTGCATGAGCGTGTGCATGTGCGTGTGTGCACATGTGCATTCATGTGGAACTTGAAATGATTGTCAAGCTTGGTAGTTAGCATCTTTATGTGACAAGCCACTTAGCTGAAGTCCCTTTGCTATTTAAAACACTTAATATCTGGCCCAACACTGTTCATAGATTTTCTATTACTCTGAATGTGAAAGAAAATAATTTTTAAATGTATTAATTTATGTGTATATCTGTATGTAACATACATGAACACTACACAGTACACATGGAGGTCAGAGTTGGTTCTTTCCTTCCATGATGTGGATTCTGGGGACTGAACTCAGGCTGTCAGTCTTGGAAACAAGTACCTTTGTCCACTGAGCCATTTTGCTGGCCCATGATTTTAATAGTGAGCTAAATTTCAAAAATGTCCACATTTCAAAGAAACTCTAAGGTATATGCATCCCACTTGAAGTGATACAATTAACAGTGTGTCAATTTCAATTAGTAAAGCACCTATCAGTATATACCCTGGCAAACTTCTGGGAAGAAATGGACAGATGTGTATTAACTGAAATAACTTGTAATTCATTTCAACTGGTTAAATAACAGAAGTAATGAATAGAAGTAAATTTACAAGGAAAGGGTATGGAACAGTATGGATTTTCATCCTCACAGTCCTTTCAAATTTAACATTTTATATGGCAATCAGATACACACAATAAACAAAAAGTACAAAAGAAATACCCAACTGACACAAAACTGATGGGATTAATAAAGACAAGAAAATGATAACATTATCACTCAGCATCATTTCAAGAATCTGAAGTGAAATACTAAAAGTAACATGAAGGCAAGAGACAACAGACACAATGATTCGTTTGGGATTAAAACAAAATCTAACAGATTTATTTCTGTAAAATCTACCCAAAGAAGTATCTGAAGGCTTCTATTTCAGCCCACGGGGTCAAGAAAAGCCAAAACGTGATGAGGAAGTTTTAAAAAGTAACACACTCTTAGCATGGAGGGGAAAGTTCAAGCTTTGCATAATTAGGAGAACTAAACGAGGAACACTTCTTTGCCCAAAGGGGTTTAAATGAAGCATCACAGCTAACATGACACCTGCAGGCCAGTCAGCTGCTCTACATAAGGGACATTATTTTTCCTCATTTCTTTATGTCTGTTTCTCCAGGATCAACTGCCAGTTTAAAAGCAACAGTTTTAACTCAATGTAAGAAAAAGCAAAACAAAATAAAACCCTGTATTTCTAGATTTTTCCAGTGCTGTTATCAGGGGATGAGTGTTGTTTTCAGTAAAAACAAAGTACATCTAAATGACATACACTAGAGAAAGCATTTCTATTTATAACAAAGGTGGTATAATTTTAAGCATCTTTCAAACTCTAAATCATATTACTATCTCTATAATCTGTAAGAAGACTATTAAGAGTTACCAAATTAGAACTTTACAAATGTATGCTATAGTGAATGGTTTCCAAAACAATCCCTTTTCCTTAATGATCATAAATCATAATGCTATTTCTTAAATCAGAATAGCAATATAATAAACTTATATCATCTATTTCCTGCCTAAATGCTAAATTAAATTGGGCCATAACAAGCAATGTATTGGTAAATTATCAACAAGCTCATGGTGTATTTCATAGAGTTGGCTGTTTATACCAATGGTGTCTACAGTAAGTGACTCCTTTGCTCAAGTGCATAACTAGTCAGAATAATGGAAGAGGACATCTTCATTTTTTAAGCTATTCACAATATAGTAGCTAAAGACATGCCACATTTACATTAGTAGTATTTTCATCGCTGCAACTCTAGACAATCAATAAGTAATCAAGCCCTGATTTATGACATCTGTCAATCTCTGCAGTTAGTAACCTTACCGTGGATAATTTCAAGTTACCAATGTGGCATCATTGAAAACAAATTTGGGAAAAATTGTAAAGACATATACTAGCCTTCAACTATAGAGATATATGATACACTGTAACTTCCAGAGCATGGATCATAAGCAGTTGTTACATTTTAAAAATCCAACATATTTAATAGTAAGCCTATGTGCTTGGATTATGGGACCTGGGGAGATGGCTCAGACAGTGAAGTACTACTTGGCATACATGAGGACCTGAGTTCAACCACAAGCACTCATGAAAGGGAGGGGCAAAAGCTATACCTGGTGGGTTTGTGCCTGCAACCTCAGAGCCAGGGAAGCAGACAGAAGGATCTCAGCCAGTCAGCATAACCCAACAGGCTCTGGGTAAAACTAAAGTGGAGAGCCACTGAGGAAGCCTGAGGTCAACCTTCACCCCCCTCCCCTACAAATCCACACATGAAACTTCCCATCCAGCATATGAATTCCTCACAGCATATGAATTCTTCCACTCAGCTCTTCCCCATACAGCTTAACTTTTTATTATTTTTTTAAATGTTGAAAGAGCTCTTACTAGCTTAACTGAAGAACAGAATTATTCTACATTTTGCAACTTATTCATTCCACAAAGACTAGCAATTTTCAATTCTGTTCAGAATTACATTTTCTAAAGGGGTAAGAAGCCAGATTCCTTTTTGATAGAGAGCAGCCAATTACTAAAATATATATTTGAAACAATTCTGGCCAAATTATTTTCTCTGTCACTTTTGTACTGCAGCACCTTTTCAACTGCTTCTTCTGTTTTAAAGTTCTCTTGAGAAAACCAAAACAAAAACGTTAGTAACTTTAAGTGACTCTCTGATCTATCTTCATAAGAACATAAATAACACAAATAATGCTTTAATATTTTCATAACAAGTCCATACTGCTCACCCTGTATCTGTTATCTGAACATACACAGCTCTTCAATCAACAACAGGGTATTAGCATTTTAAATACTCAACAGACAACCATGAATTGACTAGCTTCAGGATTTTAAAAAGGCTCATTCAGAGTATCTACTATTGAAACAAATAACCTAATGGGCATGCTAACTATGCTTTTAGAACAAATTCTCTAAAGTTCTATTATTTTGTTAGTTCATATAAATGTATTACAACTAAACCATGTATGTTATCTCAATATTTTATGGGGGGGGCCTCAATGTTTATCTCAAGCTGGCCTTGAACCCACTAAACGGGCTAGACTAGTCTCAAACTTGAAATCCTGCCTCAATCTCTCAAGTGCTGTAATCAGAAACGCCTATCTTGTGTTTTAGCTGAAAACCATAGGTAAGTTATAAAGTTAAAAGCAGTACAAAAGTGTTCACATTCCCTTTACCTATTCACCTACAGTTAACATTTCACATCTGCTTTATCATTTACAATTACACATGTCCCTTCTTTCTTTCCTACTTTCTTCCCTTCTCCAGGCTGATATTTTCCCCCTGAACCATTTGCAAGCATTTAGATAAATCTGATGGTTTTAATATGACCCAATTTTTATGTTGGCTGGCTGCAAAATGATTTTTTTCCATCAAATACAAGTCACTCCACATTTACCACTCAGGCCACAGTAGTTTTCTAAAAACAAAAACAAACTATGTATCTTAGCTCACAACACACGCTAAGCTTTCCTAAGTTAAAAATTCATTATTAAAATCACAGCAGCTGTGTTTGGTCAAGACAGGAAATTTCTACTTGAAAAACATTTTCTAATTTTTGTAAAATCAAAGATTATTATCCTATCTAATGCTCCATTTGTAAAAAGAAAAAAAGGGCATGTCTCCAAAAGTTCTTTCACTAGACACAACATGTGTCTTTTTTTTTTTTTTTTTTTTTTCCTTTTCTGGAAAATCTCAGAATTAAGATGCAACAATTAATGCAAATCAGGTGTCCCTTCCTTCCTTTCTTTCGTGTGTCTACTTTCTTTCT